ACAACGCTTTGGGAATGGGGGGTACAAGTTTGTGAATAGGGGGAAAACAATAAAGTCTAATTATCTATTACAGACCATTGAGTAGTTCATAATGCGAAATAATAAAATGTGCAAGAATACGAAGAATAGGAGAAACAGAAAGATAATTGTTTTTGATGATTTTTGATGGGAAAAGATTTGGTAATTATCCTAATTAAATAATTGATATTTAAAAGAAATTAGTAAACCTAAATAAAATAAACTAAGATAAAAAAATTAATTAAAAGGAGAAATAATTTAAATATAGAAAAACCTAAATCTAAATTAATTTAAAAGAGAAATTAATTATTTAGAAAGTATTTTTGAGATTTTATTTGTTTGGAAAAAATGAAGTAAAATAAAATAAATAAAATCTAATTATTTTAAAAAATATATTTTTTTGTATTTTGGTTAAATAAAATAAATAAACAAATAAAAATAAGGAAAATATAAAGAATATAAAAAATATTAAACCTAGGTGCTGAAGAGTAATCAGGGGTGTGAGAAAATAGCAAAAAAAAAGTTAGGCCCAAACATGTGTTTTTTTGTTTAAATAAAAAAAAATGGGCCTGGTTGTTATGAGAAGTTTGGGGGGTGATAAATAAAAAATAATCCAGACCCAAAAACAGAAGTCCAGCGCTTGTAATGATCATGTGCGGCCAACTTTTGAGAGTGTACCATGGACTTGCTCATGTGGAGCGCTGTATTTGATGACTGGCAGATCTGATGGTCCAGTCACGAGGATGTATAGCATGCGCGCTATGTTTGATGTACTGAATCTGCAAAGAAATAATGTGAAAAAACAAAAGGGTACCACTGTGGCTCGAACCCAAGTCCGTATAGACAAGTGACTTAACACGCGCTTCTTTACCACTGGGGTGGCTGTTTCATCCGTTCATAATACAACTTGCACTAAATTTAAAATAAACCCATTCCTTATTGTTTCTTCATCCCCTACCTCGCGCCAGAACAACAACACCATTGTTTTTTTGAATTTTCAAACTTGCTCATTTCTCAACCATTTTCAAAAATGTAAACATGAAAGTTGTTTGGTTTTTCACCATGAATTCAACCATGTAAATAACTTAAGCTATAAATCAAAGATGAGCATGAATTTCTGTTGGTACCAAATTAAGACCTAATTTTTCTGAAACTTCAACCTCAAAATTCTCCATGTACAGTTAACATAAATGAAAACTAAAGACATGGTTAGCTTCAGAGCAATGATGTCTACATTTTTTATTCACAAAGTAACCATTAATGATGCTTGTATAAGGAGTTTAAAATTGAGAAAACTTACCTCAAAACTGGAAATCGTGTTTAAAGCTGGAGCACTCCTGGAGATGTTTTGATGATCTGGATAACTTCACTGAACTCCTAGAAAGCTATTGCAATACTTACTTTGAGTTGAAAGTGTCTGAAACTTTATGGAGAAGTCAAGTTGCAGGTTGCTGTTTTTGGAAATGAATGATGGTGTAAATGGTGTTACAGTGATGGAACATGGCCTTGGATAGGTTCTAAATGAGTTATGGAAGCTTTGTGATTGATTAAAAATGAAAACGCACGAAGGGATTAAATGTTTGAGGTTCAAGGTCAGAATGTGCAACAATGGAGGTTTTGGGTGCCAATTTTGATTTCACGGAGTTTGAGGGGGTTAGAGGGCTATTCAATTCGTGTGTTAGCTTTCAAATAGCTTCTCTATTTATAGGCAAGAGGTTTTAGAGGCTTCAAGTAACCAGAAATTCAAAATGACATGTTATGGTTTGGTTACTTAAATTTGAAGCAAGTTTGAAATACATTGTTCCAATGTATAGTATACGTATGGTCTAGGATGGCTAGAGGCTTTAGATATGTTGCTTCTGGCTTTGACATTGTGTATGTTCAGAAGAAACACGTTTAAGACTCAAGGAGAGTGGACTTTGTGATTAAAGTCACTTTTCCAAAATGGAAGTCTTGACTTTCTTCCCTAAATGGCAAGTTAACTTGGACAAAGCTTGAATCACTTGGACAATGGATCAATCAGTTGTGTAAACATTAAATTATTGAGTGATTTGCAAGTCAGAAGGCCTGTAAAGCAAGATTATGCAACATAGGTTTGAGATTTGGTTATGTGTTCATCATCAAAATGATCTAAAATTCAAGTTTGTGATGCCATATTCATCTCTTCGAAACTTCTAGCTCAAACATGATCTCTTCAAGTTCTTGGACATTTTGGAAATCTTGAAACATTGTCTACAACCTTCATGTTGACCACTTTGGATAAATCAACTTGGAACTTGGTGAAAAATTGCCAAGAAGTTGGGACAAAAATCTTACCAAACTTGTTGAAAATTTCACTAAGTGTTTTGTTAAAAATGTCATGACTTCATGGGCCTATATCTCCTAATCCAAGCATTTTTTGGACATCAACCCTCAAGGACAAAATTGTAGAATTCATCATGCTCTACAACTTTCATGTTGAAAGTTTTCTTTGAATCATCTTGCATCTTGGTGAAAAATGGTCATGAAGTAGTAAATTTAATAAGGATAAAAACACTTAGAATTTTCCCAAGTCTTGGAAATCTTGACTTTTTGTTAACTTTTCTTAACTTTCTTGATTCTTGATGATCAAGTTTGATATTTTGAATGCCTTGATGAATCTTGATCTTTGAAATTCAATGTTGATCAAAAAGTCAAAATTTGACTTTTGTGTGTTAGTTGACTTTTCATTAGTTGATCCAAATTTCAATTATCAATCACTTGATCTTTGAGGATGTTTTTAACCATGCAATTAGGTCAATATATTGTGTTTGAGTCCTTAAGGTCGTGATTCAAGTCATTAGGCCATGTATTAGGCCAAAAGTCAATGATCAGTCATTCTCAGTCAAAACCCTAATTTGGTCAATTTTGCCTCTTTGATGATTTGAATGCTTTCCTTGAGGAATTATGGTCATCCCTTGATCAAATAATGTATATGACTTCAAAATATTGATGTTGGCCAATAATCTTGAAGTTTAACTGTATATTGATCATAATTGAATTTTTACCCAATACAGTTTATTTTCAGTCATCTGAGCAATTGACTGAGCAATTTTGAGATGTAAGACTTGAAACTTGGCATGAACATTCTTGGGGGTCTATGATGAACCATGAAAGTCACTTGAGGCATTAGAAGTCCAATTTTCCTTGTGAAAACCAAAACCCTAATTTGTGGTCTCAGTGCTTAGAAGGTGAGCTTGTCTGATCAACTCTTTGAGAATCCTTGAGCATTTGAGATCTTTTGTGAGAAATGTCTTGAATAAAAGGGAGGGTAACTTTTGAGGTACAACACATCCACATTCAACAACACATCTCCAAGCACACCATAAGGATAAGTAACTGACTGATCCACTAGTGTCAAAGTCATCCTTAAAGGCTTAGTTTTGTGAATGAAGATGGACTTCAAGGCTATATATAGGATTAAAGTTCTTCTAAGTATCACATCGCCTAGTTTTGTGAAGGAAGAGGGAGTCCAAGGCTATATATAAGATTCAAGTTCTTCGTTCCAAGATGTATCAGTCAAAATATATGGTGTCAAAGTCTCTTGTAACCACGAATGTTTTCCCCATTGACACTTCTAAACCTCACTCCCCAAACTTCTCCAACAAGTAGTATCAAAGTCTGGTTGGCTTGGTGGATAGCAGAAGAGGATCCTAGTGTGGAACAAGGCTAGTGATGTAGGTGACTCATACTTGTGGGAAAGATTGTTGGATTTAAAGTATGAAAGTACTAAAGTCCCACATCGACTAGAAATTAAGGAAATGTTGGTTTTATAAGAGAGGTGACACATACCTCCATTGTCTTATGGTTTTGAATGAATGTGTGGTGTCAAGATCTCTTGTAACAGTAAACGTTTGTTTCATTGACACTTTCGAACCTCGCTGCACAAACTTTGTCAACATTAACATCCCGACAATCAATCTTCTTCATCATGGAAAGAAGCACCAAATTAATACTAGTCCCTAAATCAAGAGGCACACATGTCCCGTTTTTAACTTACAAATTAAATAAGGAATAGTGAAAGATCGGAATCAGTTAGCTTTGGTGAAGCTTCCTGCTAAAGCTATGTTTTCATCATATCGCAATTTTCTTTTTCTGTTTAACAAATATTTCATAAATTTGGTATAGACAAGAATTTGATCTAAATCTTCACCAAAACGAATGTTAGACATTCAGCTTGGTAAACATCTTCATAAATTTTTTGAACTGTCCCGATTCAATTTAACTTTTACAATTTTAAAGTTTACTTAAATGATCATATTTACTTTTAATAGCCCAAAACATATTAATATTTTTAAATCTTTCCTTTTGTTTTCTACTTATAATAAAGAGTAATAAAAAGAATTTATTTAATTGATTGATGTATTTGGTGATAAAAATCCTCTCCATTTATTTAAGTGTATTTCACATTATTTAAAAGAAAAATGAAGGTTGAGAGTACTTTTGAGGGTCCATGTACTAATGTCTTAAGATTTTGGCAATTTCTTTGTTTTGTCATTTATTTGTTTTTGAATATTGTTACTGTTTATTTGGAATATTTGCAGTTTGCAGAGCACAAATTGTATCAGAAGTTGGCTTTCTGAACAAAAGTTGCTCTTTTAGGCCAACACTTTGTACTTGACTACACCTTTTTTGAATTGACATTTTTGTCATCGGCTCAATTATTCTACCAAATCTTTTCTAATCAACACCTAATTTCAAACCTTTTTGTTGGCCTAAAACTTGAAAACAAGAATCCACTTGCACTCTCTTCAACAACTTTTTTACATAATCTCTCTTTTCAATACACTTAACAGTTCATTCAAGCACACAAAAAAACTCAAGTACGAAGGTTGAAAACCAAAAAGGCCAAAAAGGTAACAAGACTTTTCTTTTGACATTCTGCACAGTTAATACAACATTTGGTATTAAAGGATAATGCTTATTTACAATGCAATAAACACACTAAAGTGAAAGTGTGTGTGTCAGAAAACTTCAGGCAAAGGGGTTCCTTCCAAGAATGATTTGAATAGCACGAGTGATCTTTCTGGCTGTGAGAAAGGAGCTTCATGTGCAGCACCTCTCACTGTGGCAAATGACAGAATATTTCCATACACTTGAGTCCATCCACCAACCTATGTTTTATTCAAAATTCACATTAGTTTATCATCTACACCTACTCAAACTTCAAACTCAAAACCCGAACCAGACAAAACAGACAATACTTCGTAGACGCGGGCTTATAGATAATAGTGATGAATAGGTGCTTTCTTTGTACTATTGTTGTGAATAGAGACATAAGAAAGTTCAAAGAAAGAATAAAATCTAAGTGTACACAGAACCCAATTGACAAAGACTAAAGCCAAGGGAAAGGGATCTTTCTACATTGGGGAAAGACTAGTCAGTATTCCCTAGTCAGAGTCCACTAAGGGCTTTCTGTTCTCTTAAATAATGGAGCCAACATTCTTGCAGTGATAATTTCTCAACAATTCATAGATTAAATATATATTTACCTGTTGTCTCTCAAACCAGACTCTGTAAGGAACTGTTGTATTCAGTCCTATTTGTCTAGCCAGTTTTTGAACTAAGGTTCTGCTTCCAGTCAGTGGAATCACTGAGTCTTGATCTCCACTATAGCAAAATAATTAGTGCACATGGTTATGTTAATTTAGCATTAACACCAAATTGAGAAGGAAAAGTTTAGGTTCTAGACTTTAAGTTACCTGTAAATTAGGACCTTAATTCCAGCTCTTATCAGTGATCCAACAATAGGAAGTGTTGGCACTTCCAAGTTAAGCACATCATAGTCCAAAACACTGTCATCAACATAACATAGATTGTACAAGATTTTTGGCTTAGGAAAAAGGACCGAGGTTTTAAAAACATGTCTCGAGCCGTGACATTTAAAAATGTGAACGCTAGTGCAATTTTAAACCATGAGAATGACTTACTTGCTGCAGACATCCCACTTGCGAACTCCGACGAGCTTTGCATGAAGTGCCTCTTGCACATCTCTCCTGTTTAAGTAGTTTGTAACCTTGTCATCAACACACACATCTATCCTCTCATTTGCTTGCTACAAGGACACATGACAACAATCAAAACACATTAATTATTAATATTGAAAATCAATAGTAACGAGAATCTATGTAGCACAAACACTTTGTTCTAAAGACATGTCAATGTCTGATACGACACATTCAATTTATCAATGTCGACATGTCGTGTCATGTTTGTGCTTCATAGTCCGGAAGTGATAGAATAACATGAGAAAGGAAATACTACTAGAGAAGAGACTTACTTGAGGTTGAGGAGAAATAACCTTAGATTGTGACAACAGAGAGGAAATACAAACATCAAGAGTCACATCATATTTGTCCACAAATCTACTAGTTTCTTTGCTCACCAATCCCATAACATTTGAACAAACAGATGAAACTGAATCTCTATTATACTCACTAACATAGCGAGAATAATTACACACTTTAGTGAACATATTGTAAGTTGAATCAGATATCAGTCCATGTGACCAAAAGAATTCAGCTCTTGAATTGAAATCAGTTGCATATTCCAGAACTGGATTCCCCAACTGCAATCCAATTTTGATGAACATAAGCATCAATTTTCACAGATAGACAACTAAACATTAGAATCATCAGCATTTCTTACAGCTATGCCTTTGAGATTGAATATCTTGTTTCTTTTGTTCGTTTCAATCATAAGCTTTGCAAGTTGAGGAACATAATGGCCTGAAACATATCACATATGCATAAATATTTTCAACTAACAAACAAAATATGTAAATATTAACATGCTTTTAAAATCAAGTCGCGAGGGGCGGAAACCACTTGATATTAGAACTAACCCCAAACGATTAGTCAACCCCAAACGATTAGTCGGATACCGATGGTGAAAACTAAAAAAAAAAATTGAAAAATTTACCTGCATAACTTTCACCAGTTAGAAACAAATCTCTGTTTCTATATTGAGGAAACTTATCAAACCAGCGTTCCAAGAATACAAGATTGTCCCTAGCTAAATAATTCAAAAAAGCACCATTTCAGATTACAAAACATATACAAAAAAATCATAACCATCATCATTATAGTGATATAAAAAGTATATAACAGTTTAATACTGGTTGACTAGAGAACAAGACATGAATAATAATAATGTAAAGTATAGCATATAAAAGTTAGTAATGACATTATACAATAAATCACTGTTTTATCATTATCTAAACTTTTAAAAAGCCTAAGAAAGAATAAATACATAAATATACTATTTTTGCCTGTAGAAGTAGGATTTAAAAGGAAGTATCTAAAGAGAAACATTTTTAGTACCAAAAAAGATTGAATAATGAATACCTGTTTCCTCATCATTCACTGTAGTTGTATAAGCAGAACTACCTTTTGCATAAGAGAATCCAACTCCAATTGGTGTCTCCAAATACAGCATATTAGCCTCTGAACACAAAAAACCAACTGAATCAGTTGAAGAAATCAAATAATGCATGTATGCCATTGTGGAAGAAGATATACCTTTGTTCCAACTATGTTCATTTTTGTTAAGGAAATCACCATTTGGCCTAAAGGGTCCATTTTCCGAGAATGCACCAACTCCAAGAGAAGAACAACCAGGTCCACCATTGAGCCAAAGAACAAGAGGGTTGGAAGAAGGGTGAGTTTCTGATTCAGCAAAATAGTAAAAGAGTGACTTATGTTTTTCTTTATCAACAGTGACATAGCCTGAGAATTGTTGAAAGGCTGTGTTTTGATATTGTCCAGGGAGGGAAATGATTCTGTCTGGATGAGAATGAGAAGAGAAAGCCTTGAAGGTGAAAAAAGTAAGATGAAGAAGTAACATAGGCAATGCCATGGTATGAGTAATGAAGAGAGGGAGATTTTGGTGGTAAAGAGAGAAAGAGTGATGGGGTGTATTTAAAATGATGAGTTGTTGGTACAAGGTTGGGGGTGAGTGTGGTGGGGTAATGAGGTGGGTGGAATTAATGTAGAATTATGATTACATTTTTTTACTTTTTTTTAATTGCAGGCCTGAAAAATGGTGTTGAAAGAGATGTGACAGAGGCAATGACCCAGGTGTGCTGGGTCTTGTCTATAAGTAACCATACCCTACATCAAAAAGAACAAAAATACTAGATTACTATACACTTGGACTTGGAGCAACATTTTCAAATTTTTCTTTCCTTTTTCTTTTCGGAATGGTATTTCTAAGATTTAATATGGATGGAATAAATTTGTAAATGTTTGAATTTGTGGTCATCAATTAACTTGGTTTTTAAAATTACTTAGAGTCGTTCAATTATATATGGACAACATAACTCCAATGTGGTTAGTTATAAATACCCAAACGATGTGGTTGAGGACAATCTAACTCAAATGCATAAATATACGTTCGAAACTTCACACCCTTATGTGAGTTGCATCCTGTTGTACTTCAAAATTTGTCCTCTCATTCTTCAGAAAATCATCCTGAATTCTCAAAGTTCTCTCTTAAACAAATTCAAGTCTTGAATTGTCTTTTCTTTCCAAGCAAGCTATTTACAAGGGCAAAATGGTCATTTGCAAGCTCAAAAGTCAAATTTTTACCTTGGAAAAGTTAAATTCTAAATACTTAGATTTTTTTCTAAAGTATTTGAGAAAAAAATGACACTTCAGAACTTCTGAACCAACCTCCAGGCAGAACTCGGTCAGAAGTTGCAAACATAGCTCAGCACATAACATTAAGTCAGAATGTGGCTCTTCAGCAGCTACGCCAACTCAGTTAGAAGTTGTAAACGTGTTTCAACATGTAATCTTCAAACAGAACATGGCTCTTTCAGCAGTTACGAAAGTTCAGTCAGAGTTTGCTGGAGGAATGCAAAGAAAGAAAAGAAGCCTGAAAACTCCTTCAGAACATGTTGGAATCAGAAGACGAAGGGGTCAGAAGAGTGGGTGTTACACCGAAACAGAATCTCTAAGTCCAGAATTTTCAGAAGCAAATCCAAAGAGCATGCTAGAAAGTCTGGAGAACCCTCTGAATTTGCTGAGGCAGCAGGATACTAAGATCAGAGTTTGAGTGCGTTGTATGCTGAAGCAGGAACTGCTGGCTCAGATAAGTAATGATGAAAATCTCACGTTACAAGATTTCTTGGTCTTGACCAATCTCATCACTATTTAATGCTCATTAATGCTCACAACTACTTTTGAACATTTGTCCAAAGGGTCTCTCCACGTGCAGCATAACAAAGTTCCTGTGCAGATTTAGGTATGGGTTCATGCGCTACTTTTCGCTCATGGATGTCACTTTTCCTTAATCCTCGCTTACTAACCCAGCCTAGGCTCAAAGCTGTCAATCATCACAACTTGTTATGAACCTTTCTTCAAGAATAAGTCAGCATCTAATGCATGATATTGACGCCACTTAACATTTAAAAAAACCCACAAAGTTTTGCCTATAAATAGAGCACCATTGTTTATTGGAAGGGGGGGGGGGGGGGGGACATCAGAAAAATTGTAGAAAAGAAACAGAAATTTTTTAGCAAGAAAACACCTTGAAACTCTGTCAAATTCCTAGTGTTTCAAGAGCTTTAAACACAGCTTTGAATCTCCTGCCTCAAAACTTCATTTGCACCCAATTTGTTTCTTGACTAAAGAACACCCATACAGTTTCTGACCACATATATACTTTCCATCTACCCATACCAAGAACCTGTCCAGAACACTATTAGAGTTTAGATTAACTCCAGTTCACGGAATTTCTTCCAATAGTAAGGTAAGCACCTGCTGACTCTCATCACACTGTTTAAGCCTCATCAGATTTGCATGCTCAAGAAACACAATGTAGATATCATGCTGCTGCTGTACATGTTTTGAGTTTTCCACGCCTCTGTATGTTTAAGTAGGAAGTGAATCAGTACAGAACTTGTCTGTGACCTTTTTGGTTATGTCTTCTGAAACGCTATGACACTTGCTGAGACTGTCTTAGGCATGTCTTTTGTTTTATGGAAAAATAATCAAACTGCAGATGTTCTGATTAGCACAGGGGGAAACCAAGCTCTGACTTTGACGCCAACACTTCTGAGGCCTGTTTTATTATCAGTAATATCATAACTTCTGAAAATTACTGTGTTCTCAACAGGGTCAGAACTTCTGACCTCCCCTCCCACTAACAGATTTCTATTTTGCAGCGCACTGGGGTCAGAACTTCTGACCTCCCCACTAGCAGGTTTCTGTTTTGCAGCGCACCAGGGTCAGAACTTCTGACCTATACATTTTCACTAACATGTTGATATCCTGCAGCAGGCCAGGGTCAGAACTTCTGACTTCCTCTCAGCAGCGCGCTGACCCCCTCCTTCTTTCTTTTTTTCTTACCCTTGTTATTTTTCTTTATTTTTCTCGCTGGATTCCCTATTCATAAGTGTGTACCCCACCCCCTAAATATTGTAATAGTGTAGGACTTTACATTTCCGCATTTTTATCGCTTTCAATTGTAAATGCTAGCAATTAGGATATGTATGGCAAGATAAAATCAATGAAATAGAAAATCCTAATTCAAGATAAAATCATGCATGCAATGAAACACACTTGCACACAAACACCCTTAAGGTTTCTCTACTTGGTTGCCTTATACGAAAATAGCCATATTACGCATGCAAAGTATCTTGGTAAAACAAACAAAATCAAAAGATCATAGTCCCTCGATGACGCTATCAAAGTTGCCTTATAAAATGATCTTAGTCCCTAAAAAATGATAAGATACTTTGCAACATTGCTAATCATGGTTATACGATGACCCGCGCCCGTCCCGTTTACATCCAAGGATAGGGTTGCTTACCAAATAAATGGTAAATCAACAATATCAAAGGAATAGAAAATGCATAGGAAAGACATTTGAGTAGGTAGATAGCTTCTAAGTTACTTTCTCCATTTCAAACAATCCTTGCTTTTTAAAAAAAAAACACACACACACATTTCAAAACATCTTACAAAACATTGAAAATATTTTTAAAAGACAAACATCTTTGTATACATTCTTACGAACGAGAATCATTACAAATATTGTCTAAACAAATGGCCTATTTTACAAAATACTTTCAAAACCACACCAAACACAATTTCAAACAAAACAAAGCAAGTGATCTAAACAAGTAACTAAGAGCCCATATAAAACCATGGATGAAAAGGGTGCTAGCACCTTCCCTTTTCATAATCTACCCCCCGAACTCAAGAAAACATCTCAAAGGTCTTTCCTGTGCTTTTTTACCTTTCCTTTTGGATAAAAGAAAAGTCGGTGGCGACTCTTGCTAACCGCGACATTTGCGATAAAATGCAAAACCTCAAGTCAGTTCTCCTACCGTATCACACATCCCAACCTCGCAATAAACGTAAAAGTCTTTGGCAATTCTTAATTATTAAATTTTGTCACACATTTTTTATTTTTAGGAAGTATAATTGGTGTCCATCATGGGCCCTCAGTAAAACTGACATGAGTCACTATAACACCATTCTACAAGATTATTGTCTTTTTACTCAACCCCCTAACAACCTTGTTGAGTAAAAAAAAGACAACAACTCTAAGCAGTGATGAGTCGGAAGACGAGGAACGTGTCATAACAGAGATGTGTAGTGTTATGGATGACCTTCGTCGCCAAAATTAAACTCTAGAGGATAACGTACACCATATCCAACAACGTTAGTAGAAGACATACATGAAGGAGGAATTGGAGGTGTTGGATCCCCAATATTTATCAGATGAGATATGGGAGACACCCATCTTATAGGACTTTAAGCCACTATCATTAATTAAATCTGATGGGCGCATTGACTTGTTTGAACATGTTGCTTCCATCAACATTCAGATGGTTATCATTGGAAAACTTGACTCTTTGAAATAAAAACTTATATTCAACACCTTTAGAGACAAAACTCTGGGGTGGTTTATAGGCCTCGCACAACTCTCTATCACCAACTATTAGGATTTGGTGAAGAAGATAGTCCATCAATTATCTACGAATAAGAACAGAAAGATGACTGCCACTAGCATATTCAACATTCGCCAAGACCCATCTGAATCTTTGAAGGAGTACATAACATACTTTAATAAGGATACATCAAGACGGTTCATCTAAACCAAGAGATGTTTGTGGGAGAATTTGAGAATGGACTCAGGGCACAACACTTTAATGAATCACTCGTTCAAAGATCGATTACGGCCTTGACCAAAGTGGTGGCTCAGACGAAATGTTACATCATAGGCGAGGAGAGAAATGATGAAAAGATGACTCGAGATGTAAAAGAACATTGCCCCAATACAAACATCTCACGAAAGGGTCAATACACATCACCCACAAGGAACAGAACAACATTCAAGCAAAGTGGAAAGCCCATTAAAAGCTTCACTCCCTTGAACGCCCGTTATGAGCAGATTTGGAGAGAGGTGTCACATGTGCATAACATCCCCTAACTACTAACTCCCATGATAGATGTCATAGGGTCAGATTCCCATTATTGTTGCAAGTTCCACGAGGTCAAGGGACATTAAACATGTGACTACTACCTTCTAAAAAAGGAGATAAGGTGTCTCATCCAAGAAGGGCACCTAAAGAAATACATCAAGAGCAGCTCCGTCCGGCGACCAAGAAATTCTAATTCTCAGGGGAGATATTCCTCAAGTACTCCAGGTTCCAAGAAAGGGAAAGAGCCAAGAAAAGGAAGCGATGATAAATATGTTCTCCATACCCTTAACACGAGGCAGAGAGACCAATTCCGCTCATAAGAAATATGCTCTCCAAATCCTAGTCATTGGTGATTCACACACTGACTGTGAGGCATGTGAATCATAATTTCTAGAGGCCGATATTACTTTTTCGATAAAGA